GAGGATCAAAGCGGAGCTCCGTGAGGCAATGCAACATCGTGCAACGCGCGCGTGTCGTGATTAGACGCCGCGAGCAACGAGATTAATAAGAGAAATTACATATTGTCCACGCGCCGTGTCGGTTTCCGTCCCGTCGGGTACACAATGAAGAAACGTAGGTTCCATTAACGATGATGTTTCGCCGGTATGTTAAGGCTCCTGTTTCCTCGCCGCAGTCATCTTAATTAATGACGTCAAGAGTGAGCGAGCGAGAGAATATCCCAAATTTTTGCCACGTCGAAACGAAGGGGCATGTTCATCAAGTGATCCCGAGTCGAAATTTTCAGGCTATTTTGACGGTTTTATAAAAGAATAATTTACCAAGGATAGTTTGATAAATAGATAGATGGAGAAGTGTATTTAATTACATCATGGGACTAAATAAAGAAAACAAGAAATAAATTATATCACCAGAATCGAAACCTATTTCGCTACATCTTGGCTCCCACCGTTTGTAAAATTAAAATTAAAACTAAAAGGTTAAACACAGGTGCGAAATTCTTACTCGGGATATTGATCGTGTTTCCGCAACATTTTTTAAATACTCCCTAAACTTCCCTCTTGCTTTAACAAACGGTAAATATCCGTAAAATTAACGCGACCAATTCGTGAGGAAAGACGGACTAAAAAGGAAGTTATTGCGTGTCACGTTAATTTTAGTTATTTATTACCCGTTACAGCGGAAGAAAAAAAATTTTCGGGATATTTAAAAGATTGCAAATGTACTCGATCGCTCGTAAATGCCATTTTACGGACGTACGGACATATTCTTTTATTCCGACGTACTTCGAGAATGTCGGGCATGCGTTTTCTCGCTTCTGACGCCATCAAACGAAACGACCGAAGGGAACCTTAAGCCGCCCCTATCATCCCCCTTCTCTCTCTCTCTCTCTCTTTTTTCCCTCACACTTTAAGTACACGGCAAGAACACGAGGAGCATTCGAATTTCTGTTCGGTGCGCCACGGTATCAGACGCACGCGGAAGGACAAACTCCCCTGTCGGCGTCGGCAGCCATTATACGGCTCCGACGAGAAACGCATCCAGCTCGTGGAAGCGTCTCCGGAGTCAAAGAGGGTGGAGTAGCGCGAGCGGGCGGATAGAGTTTCACCGCGGAAACTGAAACCCGGCGCCGCGTCGCGTCGAGACGCGTCGCGACGCGCCGGTATTTTCGCCTGTAATTACGCCGCGCTCGGGCACCACAATAAAAGTGCGATCGCGCGCCGACGAAAGGCGGAGATTAATTCCTTTCGACGGACGGTATCGCGAGAAGAATTGCAGATGAATATCTCGGACTTCTCTCTCACCGTCCCGACGCACGTCTCTCCCTGCCCGGGGAGATAGCGGTAATGAAACCCGCAGCCGGCGGCTATCCGCGATTTTAAGCTAGTCGGTCCCGGTCAGTTCATCTTCTTCGAAATTTTTTCGGACTTTAACGGCGTGCTCGTCGAAACACGATCTACGTGGGTTAAGAAAAGCTCGACCGTATGTACGGAAGCTGGGATAATTGAAGTCAAAGTTGACACTACTTTGAGAATATCTCGCCCGTTAGCGCTAGATTTTCAGTAGCGCACAAGGGCCATTCGTAAATTTAGTACTTTTTATAGTATTTTACAGCATTGTTTTATTTATCAAGAGAAACCACGTTCCTACATACATTGATTTCACTGTCTGAACAACAAATAGTTAATACGATACGCAGCAGAAGCCGATATATACACACGATATTACTAATACGACAAATATAACTTTCGGTGCCACTTTTAAACGCGGTGTGGATCAATTTGTAATTACTTCTACTGAAAGAATTCTCCCGATCACGCGGCCCGGCAGAAGGGTGGACGTTCTCCCTCGGCTCGGAATGCATGTCCGTTATCGGTGTGAAAACGCGCATTTCATCCGACCGCAATTTGCCGTGCGTATCGTCGAACGTGGAATGAACGAGGCTCATTGTCCCGTTAATTTCGCGCCCGATATACCGTCGAATATATTCGCGAAACGCGCGCTTAATTAGCCGGCGCGTCATATCCGGCGAAACAGTTTTTTCGTTAGCGTGCAAAGTTCGCCGGTTCGAGCTAATATCGCTACCGGTAAAAAGAGCCGGGCGTTCTACGGGCCGACGAAACAGCATCGAGGAAGAACCTGAGGGGTAAAGACTTTAGATCCGTCTTGTATAATACTGAGAGGGCATACAAAACCGGTGCCGCCGGTGGCAGAGGGCGCGTCCCGAGGTCATTTTCTGATAAACTTGCGGGAGAAAGGAGAGCACGAGGGGGGCAACTAGAGGGGGAGCAGGAGAGGGGAGCATTTATATCTTCGACTTTCTGCTTCGCAAATTTACGACGGATACGTTCCGTGCGGCTGCCTCCCCCGTCAACCGGAATCTCGCGGCAAACTCATTTTCCCTCTATAGAGAGCAAGTTTTATGATCGCTTCTCTTACCATTAACTTAAACAGACAAGATTATTTTATAGTACGGGCGAAGCTAAGCTCTCCCCCCCCCCNCCACCCTTTTCTTTTCCTCCCTCTCTCGCTCACGCCTCGACGCTGGGTCTGTAATACGAGACGAAACTTTAACGCTCTATATTTTTAGCGGGAAATCTCTCTTAGAGGTCTTAAAAGGTTGTAAGCGTGTCCCGTTTAAAAGGCTATTCCGCCTCGTTGAAGAAAAAAGCAGCGTTTTATGGAAAAACATCGGGAGACGTTGCCGTGCGTTAATTTCGTCCCGCGCGCCTCGTCGCGGATTTTTACGTTCTCGCGACGCAGCGTTCAGCTCTCCAGGAGCACCCGGCGATTAAATGTAAAACTGTATCCGCAACTAGCGATCCGGCCGGAATACGATATAGCGGCTGCTAGCCCGGCAGCGACGTCCGCGAGCGGCGGCAATTCCCCTCGGATGCCGGGAACAACCGCGAGCTCATTCTTCCCGTTTGTTTGCTCGGGATACCGTTCGACCGTCGCCGCGCGGAAAATTTCAGAAATAATCACACCCGCCCGCGGTGTATATGCGTTTTCGCGCGGCCGTAAATAAAACTCGTAAAATGTCCCTCCCTCCCTCCCTCTCCGGTCATTGTGAATTATTATGCGCCCACCTGGCCGAGACCCGACTCTCTCGTGACTCGAATATCGCGCGTGTTTTCCAAACGAACTCCCGCCAGACACACACGCGCATACAGACAGATACGCGCGTTTTTGGAGCTCCCTTTCTCCCTCGGACATCTCACCCCGTGTACAATGAAAAGGGGGAGAACGAGGGAGGAGGATTTCTCCGAGAGAAGTCTCGCGGGCGATTCGGCATGGAAAATGCGAATACGTGCTGGGAGCCAATCTATCCGAAAGGAGGAAGAAAGAAGACCGGCAAGAATGCCACGTGGGAGGATATTGCGTCGTCGTCGGGTTTCGCAGAAGAGGTACAGACATCAAGATCGTGGGCGAAGGGGGAGGGGGAGAAAGAGAGAAAGCAACTCCAATTCTCCCTTGGTCCTCGCAAGGCCGGATCCTAGCACGGAATCGTCTGCCAATAAATATCGATATGTAAAAAAGTAGCGAAACCGCGGAATTTATTTATCTTGCGTGTTTCACTCGGAATGTCTGATTTTGTGAAATCGAGAAGTTACTAGATAAAGAACTACCCAGTGAAGACGAATTGAACAGTAACGTAACATCGATGTTATAATTTCCCGCCCGACAATGTAAATACAATATAACGCGTGTGTTACGTAACAATTACGTTGCTGAGTGGGAAAATGTAATGTCGATGTTGTGCTGCTATTAATTGACGTCCATTGGGTATATGTACGATAAGCACGTTAACTTCATAAGTTGCGGATTAATTTGGCAAATTGCAAATTAATACTTTTTGCGGCCCAAATTGTTTTCGTACTTTCCCATCAACTGACCCGCGGAAATTCATTTATTTCGCGAGAAAATCGCGCAAATTGACATTTATTCCGATATGTCAATATTCAACTAATGTAACGCACAGTTGCAGCGATACATTTATATTGAATGTACCATTATATTTTATAAAAAATAAATTCTTATAAAATATATAAAATGGGACTCCTTCCGTTGGAATGACGCACAGGTTTCGATATAAATCAGCTCCGGTATACTATTAATGAATAAAAGATTAGTTTATATAATCGACTGAAACGAAATGACGAAGACTCGGCATAAGACCGCAATACAAGTTAATTTTATTAATTATATACGCTACTCGTCCCAAAGGTTTCCGGACATCACTCTATCTCAAGGCTCAAAGCTCGGAACGCACAACTACGTATCCTACCCTGTAGAACATTCATTTCCTATCTTCTTCAGGCCATCAATAACATGGTAAAATGTTTGCATCTCGGACAAACACAATTCCACTACCTGGGGTGCCTTCAGTAATTTCAGTTATTTGCTAGTGTATGTATCCCACGTCTAGTATGTTATTGTTTTCTATTCGCTGGTGAATACTGTGGTTACAAAGGCCAGAATTTGCGAATAGGTATTTACAATCTTAAACCAGTTTCTACACTTCAAATTGTAAATAATCATAGGACAGTAATCATAGAACGTCTAAAGATTATTAGCACAAAATCGTCTCAAAATAGGCCTCACGTCAAATTTACATCATTGCAGGCCACTAATTTTTTTTTTTTAACTTCCCCCAAGCCCGAATTAAATTTTAAAATAGATAAAAGATTAGTGGAGTCCGCTGTACAATGGAAAGCTTGAGACGGCTTGAGAATTGTCTTCAAGTTCATTTCCATATATCGACTTAAAGAATGGTAGCGGTATGGACACATGGATAACAGCATTCTGGTCGGTCGGCTCTTTCGTCTCACGCTGTCGTAGTCGTAAAAGATGAAGTTGAACCATCTTTCACAATACACTTTACAACCGGTGAGACTAGTTTACAACTGCGTCTTACGACACTTTACAACCACTTACGTCAACGTTCACACTATTGTAGAACGGTCTTAGCACCCGTGATCTTGATGCTGAAGTATCATAGGCCTCTCAGACTGAAGGGTTGCTGGCAGGAGACCAGTTTTCTCACCGGCTCAGACCGACAATAACACTGGTCACGTGGACCTAACTTATCTTTTCTGAATAACAAAGGAACAGGAATGAAGTATAGCGTTTTGCACAAAACGTGGAACGCGGAGAAAATATTGTAGTAAAAATTACCGCAAAATTTTGTAACGTTGGACTATACCAAAATTATGACAAAATTATTATGCGTGTTGTAATCTTTAGTGATGTGTACAACGAATTATATTACTAAAGATTACGAAGCATATCGTAATTTCAGTTGCAATTCCGGTTATGATCTAACATTACAGAATTTCGTGGTAATTTTCACTGCGATATTTCCTCCGAAGAGGGGATATGTGAAAGAAAACGCGCGAAAAATCTCGTAAGCCTAACATATTACTCTGTCAGGATTAACTAATTTCATTTGACCGCACGGGAAAAATGTTAACTTGAATTTGTCCGGCAATAAACAAACCGAGCGCGTTACAGTTAAAGAAAGCGGAACTTTCGGTCAAAAGAACCGGATTCGGTTCATAGTGCCCTCACGAGGGAAATTCGGAGGGAAACGCGTCTTCCGACGTTCCGAGCGGACTCGACCGAGCGGTACACGCGGACAAGCGATCGTTCGTGTCTCATCCTCGCTTGAAATATTATTTCTATCGACAACCGGCAATTTCCTCGAAATAAATCCCCGTCGTTCTTCCGATCAGGCCTCGACTTGACGGTCGCCGACTCGGCTGCCGATGTTTCGAAATTCGCCGTTCAAGTGGACACAATTCGAATAAAAGTAACCCACGTCGGCGACGCGAGCTGTACACATGTGAAAATCGGACGAAAATACGGGAGCCCGGTGATTCTATCGACGGAGGATCTCACACTGACTGGCGAGTCCGCGGGGAGGAGGGAAGAAATGCGCGAGGTAACGCGCTCCTCTCGCGCGAAATTCCGAAGCAATTGCGAGCGGGAATCCGCTATAAATATACGTAAGTGCATTACCGCACAGCGAGGGGGGGGNGGGGGGGGGGGGGAGGCGAAGGAACGCGAGCATAAATATGAATAATGTATCTGCCCGGCTGCTTAAAACTATACGCCAAAACTGCACCGTGCTTCATCTCGAGGACCACAATGGACCGCGAGAACGGCCACGACACGCGGCCGTTCGCCGCGTAATGATATTCCGGATTCCCGTTGTGCTCCGCAACGGACGTTCCATATAGACGAACAGCGGCGCTTCTGATCCCGACGAAACTTGACCTGTATGTTAAGCAGACACGGACAGAATAAATCCGCGGAATCGCCGCGCGACATTCGTAGCGGCTGCGACAACCGCCCGCCGTACATCCGGCGACATGTGTGTCGTGCTATTTCCTAGATTAGAAATTACACGATTTTCAGTCTTATACGTGTACACATCAGGTCGAGATGGTAATGAAATTTTCCAGCAAATATTTACCGAAGAATATTGGAGTAATCATTTTACTTTTGGATCGGGTAAATATATACTCGAATTATAGCTCTTTCTTCTCAGGCGTCATTTTGTTGTCCACAACGACTGAGATATGATAATTTTGTTATGCACTTTTCAACATCATGACTCAATAAAATCTTTTTTCGATGAACCGAGTTATAACAAGTAGCTGCAAATTATGTAGAGTTCTTTTAGTTAAATCAATCATTGAGGTTAATCTTTTGCAACCTGATCTTTTTTCCTCACTCATATTCTCTCATTTTTTGACTCGCCTGCTTCAAATGTCGCCAAACGAAGAAAATGGCGGACATTCGATATGTCGAATTTAAATTTAAGCTTCTCTATTTATATCTAGATTCTAGTACACGTAAGGTTGAAAATCATGTAATTTCCCGTCCGCGGAATGATATAGCATACGTGTCGCCGACTATATGTGTATTTTTGCAGGTAGCTCACCGTGGATATATTAAAGTCCGCATAACTGAAATTTTCGCTGAACACCCGCGCACAACCGGACGATGTTCCTCGCCGAAGTTCATGTATACTCTGCGTTCTCTTCGCTTTGAACAACTCCGAACAAACCTAAAAAGAGGAGCGCGACGCTACATGTGTATATACGCGCGTTTGTCGCATATTCGTTGTCCTCGTCGCGATGTAACGTCGCTAATTAACCCCTTGGAGTGACGTCTCCCAGACGTCACGCTTTCGTGAGCGCACATCGCTGACCACAAGCCTATTTGATCTCTCTTTCTCTCTCTCTCTTATTATCTCGTAACAACAAAATGTTTAAAAAGAAAATTCTGTACATATAAAAAAGGACTGCTGAAATGCAATAAAAAGGTAAATTATTTGTTTTTTACCTTCTTAACTCAAGTTATATTTCTATCAATTTATGTATGTTTTAATAGCTTGTGATAAATATTTATTTGAGCACAGTAATACCTTAATTTGTAAATAAGTCTCTGAATGTAAGCATAAAATGGTTCCAAATTTAAGAGAGTCTTCACAAGAATTATATAATACTCTTCTTTTCCACGGAAGAGAGGAATTTAATGGTTTCAAATTTTAATTTTCCTGTCCGGTGAATATTTCCTAAAAATAAATTCTGACATTCTTGGTATTATGAATTCAATACTTATCGCTATTGTGTTAAATATAAATAAATATCTTACACGAAAGGAATATACACATCATAGTCAATGATATTTCCACTTCTAGTAAATATTTGCCAAAGAATATCGGAGTAATGATTTTATACTTAGATCATGCAAGTATTACTTGAATAGTAGCATTTTTTTTTTCACTGTGGGATCGTGCCGAAAACATATGCGTGAATCGAGTTACAACGAATAATACTTCCGTTCTTTCCGAGCGTAAACTTAAATGGATGCGTTCTACGAGCCCGCCCATTAAATGCCAAGGGATTAGAAAGGAGAAGGAAACAACACGCAACTACATCGAAGAGACGCGATTAATAGCGAAATAGCTGTTCTCGTGCGACAACGATGGCGTGCGTGTACACGCACACACATACACTCGCCCATATACGCAGGCCAATCTCTCCTCGATATATAAATGAGCTTGAAACTTTAATTTCCCTTCTCAAGGCGCATTGTTAGCAAGTTCTACCGCGCGGTAATTGCTCCCTTGTTTCGGCACGTTGATCAATATAAAGTTGCCCGCTGCCCTTACTTTGCGAGATCCTAAATAGTGTATGAATACCGCTCCGTCTCAATGAAGCAACTTCCACCGACGACTCGCTTCTAATTAACTGGAATTTATTATTCGTGACACTAATCTTTCCCTCCCCCCCTTTCTCTCTCTCTCTCTCTCCTTCTTTCTGTTCTACGGGAAAAGACGCCGTAATGGTTCTTTATATGCTCACGTCGCAATTAATTCTACCGAGATACCGACGTGGATTTATACCTTCTTCCAGCCCCGCGTCCGCGTAGCTATCCTGCGGCACTGCTTCTTCTTCTTCTTCTCCCTCCTCTTCTTCTCTCTTGCCCGCTCACTCACCGGATTTTCTAACTTAAAGCTAAAGCTGGATTCGCAAGTGCGCGCGCGCGCGCGCAGACGCTATCCCAAGGTGAATTAAACGCTTTCCGATTTCCCATCGTTCCTCGCGAATTAATGTCCGAGACGATGCTCGCGCGCGATATTAACCGCGGAACGTCAAGATGAACGATCGGATGGGATTTCCTCCCGTTCTCTTTGTCAGCCGGCCTATTCAATGGCAACGATTCGCGGAAATAAGTCAAATCGAGGTTTTCTCTGCCGGTATAACGGCAAAATTCGTGTAACCGGCGCGACCTATCGAATTCGACGATCTTTGTGTAAATGTGTGCGTGCACGCGAACGAAAGCATATTTTGCCCAGCCAGAGAAACTTTTGCTTTCTCGATGTGCTCATTGTTCCACCCCGCGTCGTTTTCATCGTCACACGCCCCCGCGCGTTTCTTCTCGCACCGCTGTTTACTTGACCGTCGCGACTTTTGTAAAAGCAAAAACGAACAGCGTGCAGTAAACAAAAGCTCATTTCTATACACTGCAAAGAACGTCGCGCGCCGATATAGGACTTTCTGTCTTCCTTTCTCCCCTTCTTTCTGCCTTCCTTCCTTCCTACCTTCCTTCCTGCCTTCCTCCCTGCCTTCCCTCCATCCTTTCGATTAAACTTGGATTTAATCGTCCGCCCGATCAATTCCTCTCCCTTCGATTCCGCTTTCCCTCGCCTCTCCTCTGCCGTTTAAACTGCTTTGTGGATAAAAATCACCAAAGGATGAATCCACCCGAGGAAAGCCGCTTCCGACCGTTGAACGTTGACGGGGAATGCGCGCGTAGAAAATCGCGGAGGAGGAAAGAAAGGAAGAGAGGCTCGCGCGTGAACAGAAAGCGACAGGATGACAACCAACGTCGGTGCCACTCTGTGTGTGTTTTTTTTTCAATACGTTTATTATTTTTTAAACAATAATTTTAACCGTTCGTTATTTCAATCGTTTTACATACGTGGATAGTTGTGTAGAGTGTAGACGTTAGCTTACAAATAGATTAGTTTAGTTTATCCATACATAATGTGTGTATGTGTACGTGTATGCGTGTGTGTGTGTGTATGTACGTATGTGTTTTCTTTTTCTCCCGTTAGAGTAATGGCTCCTTGTAATTAGGTAATTAATATTTTACATATAGCATCTCTGCTCTTCCGCTTTCTCTCCCTCTCTCTCTCTCTCTCTCTCTCTCTCTCACATTCACACACTCTTTCCCTTCTCTTCTCTCATCACCACTCTACCTCTCTCTCTCTCTCACATTCACACACTCTTTCCCTTCTCTTCTCTCATCACCACTCTACCTCTCCATACTCATCATCAATTTCCTCGTTCTCTCTTCATATCCCTCGCCTCTAATTTCCTCCGCGCGTATCGCAGCCCTCTCGTCACTCGGAGTCCGTTCTCCCCCTGCCCCACCTCCTCCCGCTCTCTTTTAAATCCTCCGTCGGCGAGGGGAATTACGTGAGGAATTATAGACGGATTTAAGTGCCATTTGCCCGTCGAAGCGACCGCGCGAGATCGAGCAGGGG